CCAAATACAGAAGTATTCCAATATGTGCAGTTACCCCTGTCTGCAGATGATCATCTGATGGGTAGGATATTTTTCTCCAAATTACTGTATATTCTTGTACTTCTCATTATTTCCATGTGGGAAGTAGAGATAACTCCCTTGTTTATATCATGAAGTTGCTCAAGGGCAAAACTTTACAAAGAATTTTTATTTGCTTGGAAATATAAAATACTTACATACAAAAGTAACACAATTCAAGGTGGCTTGTCCTTATTCATCCAAAGGACAGATTTAGCTAACATTTTCAGATCTCTTCCATTCATCAGTCATTTACTCCAGGGTTCAAAACATCATGAGGAAAATAATGGTTCATACCTGGTTTGAGGTAACCAGCAGTCATCCTTGGACACAAAGTGTTATACATTACAGTGTTCAGTTATCAAGGAAAAAATTCTTGGTTTCAGCTGAAGTTTAACAAGGGTTGGCAGAGAAGAGTACACAAAAAGATTCTGTACAGCCAATATTTGAAAAGCACATTTCCAGGGACATGAGCTTAGCAGAGAGCAGGGTCCACAATGAAAAAGGGACCTCACCTGTGACCCAAAACTCCAAACAGTATAACATTGGAGTAGATGACTCCCTAAAACACTAAACTTTAAGGCTTTTTAACTGAGTAAAGAAACTAAAATAAAAAAGGATGCTACAGAGGAAAATGCAGTAGATTCAAACAGTGGTTCTCAAAGTGTAGTTCCTCTCTACCCCCCACCAGCACTCCCTGGAAACTACTAGAAATGCAAATTCCTCGGTCCCACCTGAGACATGTTCACTAGAAACCCTGGGAGTGGAGCCCAGCAATCTGAATTTCAATAAGATCTCCAGGTGACACTGATATATGCCCAAAACTTAAGAACAACTGGAATGCTGTAGATGATTAGATGATTTCAGAAAGTTCCCTACCCACTCCAAATTTCCTCACTGGTACATCAAAGTGTGTGACAGATCAGGTCAACCTAACCTTGAGACCCTGGAATCCCAACCTAACTACTTTCCTACAGTATCCCCTGACAACAGCATTTACTAGGTACTAGACTGTACTACCAAATTTAATAAATGTCAAAGTTTAAGCAAATTTGCTTAGCAAGTGACAGATCATAAATTTATCTGTAGACATTGCCTTGTTGAATTATGACAATCAGACTTGCAAAATACACTCTACTCATAGAATCCTTTTCTCTCAATCAACCCCCAAGGTATCAGGCTCCCAACTGTATCTAAGATCAAAGGTCAAATTCCTAGCACCCATTTCAATTTCCTCTTTTCATCTAACTTTTTCCCAATAACTGGAGAAACTTATTTTCTTCTGTCTCATCTGTTTTCTCACATTCATTTCCCATTCTCTCCCCAAACTGGCATTTCTAGTGCTCCTTTCTAGTAGTTCTGGGAGTATACCTGTGCCAAGGAAAAGGAACTGCTTGTATTTCAAAGTCAAATTTGAGGAATAACCCATTTATAGAAACTTTCACAGCCCTTTCAAGTAATAGAAGCACCTTCAACCTCTATGTAAAACTTTCCAATCACGTCCCCAATCCTCCTCCTGCTTTTCTTAAGTTTAATTTATATCAGCACATATTTTAAACTGTATTGTGTTTAATCTTGAGTACATACAATCATGTTTCTTCAGTCTTTCAGCTGTATTATAGTTCCTGGGTGGGATGTGGCTGCTCACTCCCACATAGTTTTCTCTGCAGCCCTGAGCAGAGCCCCTGTGTCTGCACTTAACAGTCGCTATTCTAGGTTTTATGCCTCTGTCACCTGGACAGAACCTAGCAGAATCTATGCTTCATCACAGGCAATCGGTCTGTTAATGTCAATTAAACATTTAACATCAATTAACAATTAATTAACATCAACTAAATGTTTCTTGAATGTAAAGGAATATATTATTGTAGGCTGACCTAATTACCCAAATATCATTTGCAATATTTATTTCCATGCATAAATGTGGTCTGGTTCACAGATGGTACCTTCTCATTGTGTCCTCACTTTGAAGAAGGGGTAACGCAGAAGGCAATTCTCTGAGCTCTTTTTTAGAAAGGCACTAATCCCACTCATGAGGGCTTCACCCTTATCATCTCATCCCTCCCAAAATCCCTACCTCCTAGTACAGTTCCACTAGGGATCATTTCATCCTATGATCTCAGACCACTGCCAGTTCCTAATCTGTACATCATTAGATGAATATTTGTTCCTGTGCTTGCTCCAGAAGGAAAGAAAGGAAGTGGGGGGAGAGGGAGAGAGAGAGAGAGAGAGAGAGAGAGAGAGAGAGA